TGGCAGCTGTCACAGGCATTATATAAAACCCACCGTGATGCCAGGTTTGACCTTCACAAACTGCCTCAGCCAAACTTCAGCTGTAACTCGGCAAAGTTTCCAAGTGAGAATTTCTGTCATTTGTTGAAAATCCAAGTCTCTGTAAGGAACAGGGCATCATGCTGATTTCTAAGAAGTTCAGGAAATGTGTTTAAGGGTGTCTAATGCCTAATGGAGAATTTGTTGTGCTGGAAATCAGAGTAAACAACCCAAAGTACCTCAGCCTTGACTTCCTCTCACCTGCTGCTATGTTGCTATGGCAAATCTTCGGATTCTGTTCCTCATGGCTCAATGAAAAATGAACCAGGAAACACTCATTTTTAACACATAATGGTTTGTGTTTGTACAGCACCTATCAAAGCTGTGAAATGCTTAGCCCTAATTCCAGCTAGAAGAAGACAAAAATGTAGTGGACTAAGAGGCACCTGTTTGCACTGTGCACAGTTTTTATAATTGGTGCAGCATGGGTTGGAACATAAAGATGGATCGTAAACTTCCTCATTTTGTTGGGAAGACGCTCTGCCCTTGATTACTTTTCCCACTCCAATGCTCTGCCCTGGACAGTTGGTGGAGAGGCAGCTGCAGAACCACTTCTTCTTCTGAAACTACAGCTGGGTCCAGCCCTGTCCCCGTGCTGATTTCCATATCCACCTTTACAGCTGGCTGTACACTTTGCATTGTGCCGATGAATTTGAAAGTAGTGCTGAAGTTGAAATAGCTGCATTTCAGTAAGCTCAACCAGCCCCTTTATACAGGCCAACAAGTAGCCATGATTAGGTGGAATGATGTTTGGTCACTGATGGTAATGAACAGATTTTAAACAGTGAAGTGGCAATGAGAGGGCTGGGGTGTGTGTAAAGCTTTTGAGTTGTTACTGCAGAGTGATGCACCTCTGCAGCACCTGTTTTTGGCTTGGACAATTGGAATTTTTAATTATAGACTTTATTTCAGAATCTGTCTGGTTTGAAAAAAGATTAAAAGGTGCTATGGTTGTTTATTCTGTTTATCTAATTATTTTTCATCTGTAAATCAACAACAGACTGTAAGAAGACAGTTCTTGGATGCCAGATGAGTCCTTAAAACCTTTTCTTCATACATGTAGAGGCAATTACTGAATCTACTTTTACCCTCAGAAATCTAGCACAAATACTTTAAACTCAGGAGGAATCTAGTAAATCAACAGGAAAACCCCTTCATCATGCTTAAGCTCTCAGTTCCCTCCAAAGCCTGGCAATTTTATACTAAAGTTTCAATGGCTGCTCGTATTCACAAAACTTTGCGAAGGACTGTACTTCTCCAGTGTTGACTCTTCAAAAGGCTGTCATGCTCCCTCACCTGTGGGCTAAATAATATGATCTGGCGTTTCCTAAGACTATCAACGGTCACCAAATGTTGCTTGAAAAATTTGACTGTGGATGTGAACCTAGCAGGACAAAGAAATCCAACGTGTCTATTTCAAGACAACTAAATATGTAATCTTATAAGAGCAGATTTTGAAACCTTGAGCCAAAAACACAAAATGGAAGATATGAATTTGCATAAGAAACACTAAAAAAGCCCCATGTATGCATGTATGCATGCATATAGCACAGCATTCAGCTTGTGATGGGTTTGTTTACCCTCCTCATTAATTATGAGCTCATGGCTGAATTCCAATAAATTACAAAGAATAACAGAAGATTTTTTTTTTAGGCTTTCAAATCAGTTATTGAATTCAAATTAAGTTCATTCACCTTGACCAACAAATTTTAAAAAACAAAATTTGCTATGTTTCTCATCCATTTTCTCACTTTCTGCTTTTCTTTCTGCATTTCTTTTCCTCATCAGATTTAGTGACAAAGAGGATATAGGCTCCCAGAGTGTTAACAGCATTTCCTACTGCTCAGTCCTCCCCTGGAGGCTTATAATACTTTGCCTTTAGTGTTGTGGACTTTCTGATAACATCCCAAACAGAGATGCAGGATTTGTGATACAAAAGGAACAGGTAATACTGAAAAAAAGAATTCACAAAATTCCTGGGAAATACTCCAAGAAGGAACAGAAAGACTTAAGACAGACTGGGATAGAGAAATAAAAGAATAATGAAAATCAGAAACGTCAGATTATGCATAGATAAAAGATCATGTGAATGAACTACACAATTTCTTCTGAAAAAGTAATATTTGATTGTTTTTTTGTGGTATACCCACTGCTTAATTGTGACTTTTCATTGCTTTCAGCCAACTACTTCTAGTCCTACATTCAACATCTTATCCCCATATTAAATTTTACCTCTCTTCATTTAGTACAAATTCTTTTATACATCTGAATTAAAAATGCTATGCTATTTCAGTAGGGGCTGAATGGGGAAATTACAGACTGCAAGACAAAGAAGAAAACACTGCATCCAGTGAATCTCACATCCACTGGCAAATCTGCTTACAGAACTTTGCATTTTCTTACCCTCTTTCCTGTTGGCATTTCTGTGAGCAGATAATGACACTCATTTTCAATTATTACAACTTATGTAGACCTTAACTTTATTTCCTTGCACTGCCTAGAACAGAGTTATTTACTTTGATTAAGATCTCCGGCTAAAAAATAACTATGCTTGTATTCAGTGAAGTACAGCAAAATCACTACATCCCAAAGAAAGGAAAACAGCAAACTGGAATCATAAGCTTGGCATTACAGTTACAGATTTGCAACATATGGTAATTTGCCTCTAGTTCTCTTGCACGTGCTGACCAAAATAATCCGTTGAAACAGAAATCTCCTGAGTTGTAAGAAAATAAAATAAAAAAAGCTAAATCCTAAACATTTCACATGGGTCTTGGGCTGTAAAGAGTTTATCCATGAAGTGAAAATTTCAGTCTCTGACAACAAGCAGATTTCTGAACCCACATTTATTTTTTTCCTTAGTGCCTAATGTAGACACAAGCTACCTTTGTAATTAGTGTATACGATTTGAATTAACAATGCCTAGAAGCAACTGCACTACAAACACATTATAATAACATGTGAAATACAGAGCGTCTCAGACAGACTTCTCAGAGCTGGACACTGCCAATAGTGTGGGTTTGACTGCAAAAAAATGATGCTAACAAAAGTGACTGAGGCTTTTGAGGTTTTCTGCTTGGGAGGTTTGGGGCATTTTTAGGAAGGACTCTGGAATAAAAGAACAGTTTTTGCATTTAAGGTTTGGGAAGTGATATTTAGATATGCAGCTAAGACATCAAAGCTTCCTGCAGAGAAGCACCAGGGCATATCAGCTTAGTGAGACCACATCCAGAATTCATGAACTAGCAGAAAACCAGGCTCATCGGTGCACGCAGAGCAATACCGTATAGAAGAACTAGGCTAGTCCAGATGCAGCACAGATATATTATCTTGGCAGAGTGTGCAAGCTAATAAGCCTCAGTTCTCAGCAGGGCTTATCAGGTCGATGCTGATACAGGGGTAATTGAGCTTTGCTGCCACTCAAACCGATAAGTTGTTCAGGACTCTGTGTTAGCCCATTGTGTGTACACCTGAATTGACTTGCGGTTACTGGCTTGAACTTCGCGCACCATTGTTCACCACATTTTGGCTTCCTGGCTTACCGCAAGCAAAGAAAACTTGGACCTGTCCCTACATGTCCAATGAGTGTAGCCTTTCATAAAATGCAAATTCAGGGAGCTGATCAAAGCTCCCAACATTAAAGTCACTCTGTGTTTGGTCTAGGAAAAACCTCCTGCAGGTGTCATAGTTCCACAAGTAAACACAGAGCTGGAGAAGTCGGGGAAGGTTAGAGATGCATTGAAAACCGTGTCACTTCCAACCTGATATTGCCCAGCAGAAAGGTCACTGGTAACAGTGATCCATTTTCCTTCAGTCCTTGCTCTTTCTGGCAGCAGTACCAATTAGTGCTTCACCTGGTTGCTGCCCACTAGAATAAGACCATCCATGCTAACATTTAAGTTTTTCCTTCCTTCTCTCCTACCTCACCCCTTCATGCTGAGGGCATAATGACATAATGTAGAATTTAGCCTTAATTGGATCTCTGCAATGTTATCACCTGAATTAGCTCCCCCATGAATAATTATCACTGCCTGGAGGCTGACAAATTGCTTCCCTCTACTTCATGATTGTCAGGAATTTCAAATTATATGCTGAGCATTGGGGAAAAAAAAATGAAAAAGAAAAGCCTAGAGAAGCATAATTATTAAGTTTATTGAAATATTTGGCACGGAGTCCCATTGTCTCCCTGTCTCAAAAGGGATGAGTGACAGCAAGAACTTTGCTAGGGGCAATTCAGCAACACCCAGTCTTTCAGCCAGCAACGGCTATGGCAATACTCTCGCACAGTCAAAGCAAAACTATAACCACTGCTACCACCTGGCTCACAGTTAGGCAGCTCCTGTGTTCTTCACTACCCCATTTAAGCTGCATACATCAGCTTGTTTAGCATCTCATCTGCATATTTGATCATGCTAGGTAGCTGGTAAATTCTTCGTAGCATAGACTGATAGAAGCGTAAACATATGCGCGGGATAGCAGCAGATTGTCATGCATTTACACTAGCGCATAATATTCCTTGCTTTGTAAGAACAAGGTCTTGGGGAAAACGTGCTTTCATGAGAACAATCATTCCATGTCTGGGCAAGACCTTGCACAGAAATGCCATGCGTCACTGCACCACAATATCCATCTCAGATATCGAAAGAGCTGACAACTGGTAAGAAATCTTCATCTCATAAAACCAAATCACTATAAAAGCTTAATGCTCTTTGAAAACGGCTTGAAATGATCGGATTAGGCAACAGGGCTTTATCCAATTTTCACATTAATGACGCTGTGCTTGTAAGATAGAAGCATTTCTCAGTTCAGTTCAATTTAGTCCCTCAAACTTCTTTTCCACCTTGCTGAACCCACACCACACAAATGAGACATAGGCAAGGTAGTTGCCGCCATATTCCCAGCAGAAAGCTCTCCCTCCTCACCTGACATACAGTGACCTCTTCTGATTAGTCCTCAGGGAGCCAGACCCAGAACTCATGCTGTGATTCATCATCTGCTCACGCAGGTCATGGATTTTTGCCTCAAACCGAGCGTACTCTGAGGAGATAAAAAAAATAGACAATAAAGATATTTTCGTTTTCTTGACCTATATAATCATTATGGCTGCTAAATGCAAATTAAAATTAAATTAATGAGTGTAAGTCATGTCCTGAAAATTGAAGTCTAATAGAAACTCGCATTAATATACTATTTTAGGTAAATGTATGACCTCTTTATTGTGGTACCTGAACATTTCACCAGTGACTGTGTGAAAAATCAAATAGCTAGACCATCTCTTGCAGTTTCAGGAAAGGAAAGGTGGCTTAAAGTGTGTTACAAAACATCTTTCAGTCCACAAAAAGGATGTTGAAAGCAGTTTTCCACTCTATCATTCCTCCTTCCAAAGAGTGAGATGCATTGTCAGGGGCAGTGGGGTGAAGTAACTCAAGTAACTCAAGTTACTAATGAGTCAAGCAAATCACACCGAAGGGAAGGAGATACACCAAAACATAATTATCCCTGAAGCAGCTGTGAAATTGTTGTATGAGCAATAAGCCACCTTATTTACCCAGCCCATTGAGGATTGGGCTCTGTTTCTTTTAAATAGGCGGGAGCCATAGCTGGGTCTTAGGGTGGGTGATCCCAGAAACTCCAGACCTGTTTAAGCTGCATAAGAATGGCACGAAGCCAGTTTCCAGACCATGTTCTCCTCCATAGTTCTGCTGGTAGCTCTGTAAAACTTTGCAACCTGCTGACCAGCAACACAGGGCCAGCACTGGAGCAAGGATTCAGCTAGAAGTGTATTATTTGGTGAGGCTCCTTTCTGAAAGGACAAATCCCTCCTACAGCCTGGTCAGCAGTCCCTCCTGCTGACATGTTCCCCTTGCTCATTGTGTGACCTAATGGGTGAAGTTTTGGGTTGCAAGAGGAAAAGTTGAAGTTTTGGAGACAAACTCTAGTTCCTTAAAACTGAAAACCTACAGGCAATGCTCCAGTAACACAGAGAGTCATAATTCAGCCTAAATCCGGGAAATCTAGCAACGCGAGCTAGAAGACTAACGTGAGGGGGTGTACAAAATCCATTTCAGTGAGTCAGTGGCACTTTGAAGAGTGAGATGTTGCAGACTGATGCCAGCAAAGAGAATGAGATGTTCCCTGCACCTTAATGTTTTCTTTCATTGCCTGCTTCGAAATGAGGGTCTACATTTCACCACAGCAAGTCTGGAGCAGAAGTGAAATCAGCACACAAGGTTTCCTCCCTTACAGGACGGAGCTACACCCCACCAGATCACGCCACCTCTCACTTTAAGCAAAGAAATCTTTACTGTGCAGTTACAACCTATTGGTCTGCTCCCTGTTTGTTGCTGTATGAGCTATGTGAGAATGCTGTAAAACAGCAATACTCTCATTTTCTCCTCACAGAAATCTCAGAATTATTTTTGTTTGATGATTCGCTGTTCACACTGGCTCAGTTCCCAGAATGTCTAGATGCTTTGCAACAACAACTAATTCATTTTATTCAGTGCCCTTTAACTTTTCATTAGATAATAACATCTGACCTTTCCAAGATCCCCCATCTTGCATAGACATTAGCTACCTTCAAGCTGGCTTAGCAGGGTGGTTTGATTTAGGCTTTTATGTTTGGATTTTTCCCTTCTTCTTCTTCTTCATGTTCTTCATCTTCTTCCTTGATGCATTTTAACTCCCTTACCATTGAGCTTCTTTGGCATTACCTACTGAGTTTGTTAAGTGATGGTGGCTACTTTGCCAGCCAGCTGGGAACCACTGCTGTGGTATAAGACTCTTCAGTCTTCCCACATGCCTATGACTTCACCAAATGCAGCTGAAATTCTGCATATCAGGAGAAGAGACACTCCTACATGCAGACTGTCTTTCAGATTTGCTCTGTAGCTTGTTTCTTGCTCATTTCTTTCACCTAGAGTACATCTTTAAACTTCTCAGTAATTTAAAATCCCAAATCCTTTGAGGAACCAAGGCTCCTACAAACCTGTGTTGTTTTTTAAAATAGAGTTTAGCTTTGAAGTGTTTATCCCAGTGTAGGATTTAAGTTTGCTCTATGTGAGTCATATTTGTTCTATTCCCCCGCTCTAGAATTTATTTAGTAAATAATCATCTCTCGAGCAGGGCTTTGTTTAACTTGTATTTCATTATAACAGATTTAACATTTCTTCCTGGCAAATAGGAAAGGGGATCTTAGAAACAAAAATCTTGCCTTTCTCTTCACACAGTGTCAGTCTTCTGCATACAGACAGAATACTATGATTTTAAGGGTTGTTACTAGGTCTTTTTTATGTGTGGTCGACACACTGAAGAAGGCAGTAAACATAAAGTGTAATTCAGCTTCTTTGGTGTTTTACATCTGGGTGAGGCCAAAGATGAATGATTTACTGTCGTGCTGTAATGGCAGCTTTCCCTTTAATAATCAGCCATATCCCAGGCAGGCTCTGTATTTGAGGTGTGGGAGTAACTCCCAGATTTAGACACCGATCTGGAGAGTGAGAAGAGAGGACTGAAAATATGAGTCTCTGTAGCACAGCATCCAGCCATTTGCAACTTGAACATCAGCTCATGAGACACTCGGATGACTACAGTTTGGTCAGATGATGAAGTTATAACTTGTGTTCTGACTTCAAAGCGCACTTGGAATTTAACTGATTTTAACTGGCTGTAAATTTATTCTGAATTTAATAATCTGTCTGTTTCCAGAAGACATTTTGAAACCACAGCACATCTTAAGAATTTTGTGATGAAACTTCAGGGTTCAAGCTACTGCTCCCTGCTTGAGATTAAAAAATACTGAAGTACTAATGATAGATCTGTTTGTGTTGCTGAGATGTTTTTGGATTGAAATGCACAGATAATTTGCAAATACCCAAATTAATGGGCCTATATTTTCCCACAATATCTTCTTCATACTTTTGCATCAAAAAAATCTGAAATGTACATCAGTGCCTTTCTCCTGACAAATGCCTGGATTACAAATTGCAAGGCCATCTATTCAGGTAGTATTTAATCCAGCTCAGTCCAGCTTCTTTAATCTCAGTCCTCCTAGTTCTCCTACTGATGCTTGGATATTACAGCGACAGCTGCATTTGAACTGTGAACAGAAGAAGAAAGAGTGATGCTCCATTTCTGCAATCAGAACTGCTATGGTAGTCTTGCCTGCTGGGAAAAAAGTCCTTTTTTCTTAACACTTCTTTATATAAGGGGTCATTCCAGAGGAGCTGTTTCCTAATAGGTTTGCATTTGCTAGGTGCAAATAAGTGTCAGTGCTAAAGTCCAGAAAAACACTTCGTGCTTCCTTCAAAATCAGCACTAAATCTAAATAACACACTTTCAAGGCTCCTACGCAATTAAAAGGACACTGAGGTTGTGACATGCTGACAAGAAATACAGCTAAAGCTGATTCACTGATTTCGTGCCCTTTAAAGAAAGGAAGAACAAAGAACGTACTGCTGCCGGAGTGCGCCATTAGCAAAATTTACCAAATTTGACTTACCAAAATCCGTCTGCAAAGGTCCTACATGTTGCCTGATTCACTAACGATCTAACAAACGAACTCTGGTAGCTGAAGAAACTGATGAAGTTCTGCACTAGACTGAAAGGCCGAATGGGTCAGCAAACTGTAACGCATACCATTCCTGGGGTCAGACCAGATGATATAATTGTACTGGTCTGTGGCTCTGGAAATGCTGTAAAAACCAGGGCAGATGAGATGGAGGGAGGTGTTTGTTCATACTCTGCTTCAAAGCTGGCTCAGGGCTCACCACGGTGTAGGCAGAGATGTATTTAGCCATCCTGAAATACAACTCGCTAGCCCTGGAGATGCGGAGCTAGTGCCGTTGGGTGTGGGAGAGGAGATTGCTGCAGCTAGGAATGGCCTGCCCGCAGGGACAGCAAGCCCATTTGCAGGGCTCTGGCATTGACATGTTGGGCTCTGCGTGGGCTGCCAGCCCCAGCAATGTTGTCCCAAGCAAGTGCCCATTTTTCCAGGGGTCTATTTCCTAAAATTGGCTCTGCTCAGCTCTCTGGGCAGTCAGGAGAGAGAGAAGAGTCAGCCTCAATTTCTACAGTGTGAATTGTCCCCGAGCCCAACCAAGGCCAAAACCGAGTGAATTTGTCAAATACAGACACTGACGTCTACCTGCTCCATACATGACTCACTGGCCTGAATATGCAGACAGGGAGCTGGTTTTTTTCCTTCTACCTCATTCCAACAGCTTGCCAAGTGCTATATCTGGGACTCACATATATTCTAACCTTTGAATATTACTGCAATCATTTGGCTTTCCAAGGCACTTGCACTTGTTGAAAGGACTGGGTAGACCTTTTCGAGTAATCTTCAAAAGCTTTGAACCTTCTCCTTCATTCATATACTGAGAAATAAAAGCAAGGTACATGGCCAGCCCCACTAAAAACTCATCCAAAACCCCAAACCCTGATAGCAATGCACTTAAACTGAAACTTCAAATTTAGCTGGGCAAGATCAAAACTATGAACTACAAAGCCTGCCTCATCCACTTTGGCATCTGAGGGTATGCAGACATCTGCATTTTTACTACTGAAGTGATTTAGGTATCTAAAATCCTGCCACCCCTTCTAAGTGGTTGTCCACCCCCCCCCCCCCCCCCCCCCCTTTTGAGCTTCCTATCAACTAGCTTTGATGGCCCATGATCTGACTTGGCATACAAGCTCCTCTGAGTCCTATAACTCAACACTTAAGTCTTCCCACATGTTGTGTAGGAAAATGCCATGAGTTTGGGAGATCCAAGGTGGATGCCTAGACATTATGGATAGTTGGGATGAGTGCTGCGGTGACTTAAGTCCTTTCATATATAGAGAGCAAGGACTTTTTCAATGAAAATAAGCAGTGTATTCAACGTTTAGGTACAAATTCTCCAAGTCACTTCAGAAATGTGTGGGCTATGAGGATGGTGAGGGGACTGGAACATCTCTCCTACGAGGAGAGGCTGAGGGACCTGGGCTTGTTCAGCCTGAAGAAGAGAAGGCTGAGAGGGGACCTAATATATACTTAC